TCTCAAAAGCCATTAGGTACGCGAGAAGCAAGTGAAGTGAACAGGCTTGCGCACTGTTGTTCAACCCATGCAGAAAACTGTTGATGGCAGCGAAGTGGGTGCCCTGCAACTCAACGTTGGCCTCAAGATCAAGAGTGCGCTGCTCAGGCCCGGCCAGACGGGCCTCAAGAGTGGGATGTGGTGAGCTGCTGCCCGCGGAAAAGCGAGAATCTGAGCCTGATGTGAAGGGAGCGACAGGGTCAACAGGCACAATGACATAATGACAGGACTCTCACTCATGCGAAACAGGCTCGCAGGTCGAGGCTGAGGTCCATCTGCGGCTCCCCACGGAGCAAACTGCACGCCCTCTAAGAGGGAACCTGTAGCACCTCTCGGGAGCCCTAGACTAGAAAGCGGCCCAGGGTGCTGAAACAAGTTGATGCTTCACATCAGGCTTCAGAAACAACATGTTGCAGCAAGGCATCACAGTTGCAAGTCTGAAGTAAAAAGATGATATTGGGTGAGTTTTGTTCAAAGCGAAGCATGAACCAAAACACGCAAGACGCAAAAAGGAAATAAGGCTGCCTCCCCCTGCGGGGTAGACTTAACATAGCTTGTACCTCTTGGGAGTCGAGGCCCCGACGGCAGTGGTGACAACGCCGAGTTCAGGTCCGCCACCGTGACCTCTTTCCGACGCAGCTGCAGCAGCGTGCGCACCGCCACGGCACTTCTCTCGTAGAGAGCACCCACGTGGCGGTTGAGCCGCTTGATGAGATGGCGCAAGGCGGAGCTCACGTCGGTCTGCCCCTTAGTTGCTTGCTCTGGCCTTCGAAGAGCTCACAGCCTAGGACTCCTGAGGATCGGGCGTCGACTTCCTGGTTCAGCCAGGCTCGCGCGCACGCCCACTTCACTGCAGCCACGCTGGGCACGTACGAGCTCAGGCAGACTGCGCAGCGACAGCCGACCGCCGCGTCGCAGGCCTCAATCAAAATCACACCCGCACACATCTCCGGTTCACACATGCGCTCATCCAAGAGGTTGCACGCCTTGCGCACTGTCGATGCTGGGGGCCTGACACGTCCGGGCGTGGGCCCGAGGGGTGGTGTGCCGGGTTTTTGGGCACGGCCCATACCCGCTCCCGCAGGGTCGGCGGCGCCGGCGCCTTCGGCGCTAGCGGCTTAGGCTTCACTGCCGGAGGCTTGGCCATGCCGGCACTGCGGAGTGTTGCGTTTCTTTTTCCGAGCCGAGTTGCTTCAGTTGTCTCATGTAATACATCACAACTGGAAAATTGAAAATTGTATTCAATCATCAAAAATCTCCAAAACAAAAGCGCGTGCTAGTCCACCAAATGAAATATACGGAAATAACTATCGAAAAAAGCGGCAATCCGCTTTTTTTTGCTCTACCAACACATCGTTCAGCTTCTTCAACACTATTACTACTGACGGTATTGACACCACGAATTGACTCGTTCCCAAACACGCAGGCCACCCTGAAAGCCCATGCAAGCCTAAACCCTAAACCCTAAACCCTAAACCCTCAACCTTGAACTCACGCCGCACAGCCCTCCCTAGCCACACTTTCAGTCCTCCATCGCTATTGTGGACTTACCCTCGTCTTGAAGGTGAAGCCGCATCCTCACTCAACCTCCCCCAGCCCAACTAAAACCCCCCAGACCCCGAAGCCCCAAACCCTACAAACCTCTTGGGATGTTCATCCTTATACCAACCGTCCCTAATTGGGATTAATATAAGGGAAGGGACTGTGAGTAACTAGGGGAACACAACCTAAACCCCCGAAACCCCAAACCCCAAACCCTAAACCTTAAACCCTAAACCCTAAACCTCAAGGTTCTTCCGAGGCCCCGCGACCAGTGCCAGGATCGCAGTGTTGCCCTCGCGGACGAAGCTGTTTGGGTCCGCGCCCAAGGCCAAGAGCTCTTTTGCCCTGTTTGGGTTTAGGGTTTGGGTTTTAGGGTTTAGGGTTTGGGGTGTAGGGTTTCGGGTTTAGCGGTTTGGGGGTTTTGGTGATTTTTGGGGTTCAGGGTTTGGGATTTCGGTTTAGCGGTTTTTGGGGGCGAGGGATAATACTTTGGTTTTGAGGGTTTGTGTTTTGTGTTTGGGGCCAGTTCGGGGGGCACTACTCGTTACTCGTGGGAGGAAAGCTCTCATGCCTCTTGTACACAAGCTTCGTGAGGAACAGGCACCATTTAGACCCTAAACCCTGAACCCTAAACCCTAAACCTTAAACCCTAAACCCTAAACCCTAAACCCTAAACCCTAAACCCTAAACCCTAACCCTAAACCCTCAACCCTAAACCCGAAGTCAAGTGTAAGGTTGGTCAATTCTGAGGGCGTCAGGGGGTCGCGCTGCTCCCCGATGCTGCCCCCGCAGGCTCCTTTTGTGACCGCGAGCCAAGCGAGTCTCATCAGGGATCTTGCCGTGAGCTGCACCGGTAATAATCCCCTAAACCCCCTAAACCCTAAACCCCCTAAAAACCCCCTAAACCCTAAACCACGAAGCCTAGACTCTAAACCCCAAATCAGGAGCAGCTCTAGGCCGAAACCCTTTTGGGGGCCAATGGCATGACCCTCAACAGAGTACACGGCTCGCCGCAGCACATGGCGATGGACATGGGCCCTGCCATGGCTCAGTCTGTCTCACGTCGGAAGAGTTCACAAGCTCCAGGCAGATTTTTGGGTTTAAGGGCTTCAAGGGTTCAGGGGTTTCAGGGCTTCAGGGGTTTCAGGGGTTTCAGGGGTTTCAGGGGTTTCAGGGGTTTCAGGGGTTTCAGGGGCTTCAGGGGCTTCAGGGGTTTCAGGGGTACCCAATCCGCAAGAAGACGTAAGCCGTCCGTGCGGCTAGGATGAACTGAGCGAGGGCGCACAACAGCCCCTTCTCTACTACTGCTTGCTTAAGAACCCCCCCAAAAAAAAACAAAAACAATAATCCCCATATTGCCCTTATAATGAATAATATTCCATTTTGTTGGGGTTCTTAAGCAAATCGTAGTTCTTGAGCCTTGAACGACTTGAAAGCTCCAAGACTCCAACAGTCTGAGCATACATGGGGGGCTTCCGGAAAAAACAGAGGTACTGTCTTTGAGGGTTCCTTAACAAAGGAACATCTACAGTATTTTCATTGTATTTTCATAGAATGATTAAATAAGTATGTTCAAAGAATTTTGGAGTATGTAAGGGGCACCCCTATTTTCGGAAATCCCGACATGATGCAAAAGTGCATCGAAAGGAAGACGTTGCCCTTTCGCGAGGCAGATGCTGCAAGAATCCTGAACACCGGGCCCAATCAACGCGAGCTTAGAGAATGCCGAGCAAAACCAAAAACAAACCCTAAACCCTAAACCCTAAACCCTAAACCCTAAACCCTAAACCCTAAACCCTAAACCCTAAACCCTAAACCCTAAACCCTAAACCCTAAACCCTAAACCCAACATGTTCGCGCCCACGCCTAGACTCAGTCACAGCAAGCTGCCCTTTCTCTTCGTCCATGGCGAGGGCAAATACCCAGGATGCCCGACCAAATTCATCCATGCATCGGGCGGATTGAAACCCCTAGCCCACAGCCCTAAACCCCAACAACCGCAAATACTGTAACCTACTGTCGCCCTAAATCCGGTGACCCCTAAATTAACCCTAAACCCTTAACCCTAAACCCTAAACCCTAAACCCTAAACCCTAAACTTTAAAGAGCGGACATGACAAGGCAAGACGTCACGACTGACGTTTGGGGTATCCCCACCATCCTGGCAACGCTCTCAAGAGCTGGTAAACTACTAGTTGCTTCAGAACCCCCACAGAATAAAGGGTTTAAGGTTTAGGGTTTAGGGTTTAGGGTTTCGGGTTTCGTAATCCCTATATTACCCTTATAAGGAAGAATATTTATATTTTTGTGGGTTCTTCTAAGCAATTGGTAGCAAAGGCTGCATTGCCGGGGCACCGACACAGCGGAAAAAAGGGGAGCTCGGCTTGGCTTTGGGTGTGATTGAGGTCCTGCCGCATGCCTCCGGCGTCATTCGCGCCTAAACCCTAAACCCTAAACCCTAAACCCTAAACCCTAAACCCTAAACCCTAAACCCTAAACCCTAAACCCTAAACCCTAAACCCTAAATCCTCCAGGCCAGGATAAATAGAAATTGCACGCGTTTCACTGCGAGCAGCTCGTGCAATAGTGCTTCATCCTTCACAGGGCACTAAAACAGACCCTGAATAGGGAAAAAACCGACAGAACCCCCCAAATGAAGTTGGCAAGATTTCAGTCTTCAAAACCCGGCCCCACACCCCCCCCCCCCCCCCCCTCCCCCCAAAACTCCGCGCAAGCCCTATGCAAAATCCGGGCACCAAAGCAACCGAAAAAGCCTCCCAAAAAGATGCCAGGGCATGGACACCCAAGCAAATCCGGACACCAAAGCAAAATCCGGGTACCAAGGCAAAATCCGGGCACCAAACCAAAAGGAAAAACTCCCAGAAGGGACCTGGGCATCTGGGCACCAGAGCAAAGCAAAAAAATTACAGGGGCAAAAAAGTGAGCCCCAAACCCTATACAATTTCTATAAACCCTAAACCCTAAACCCTAAACCCTAAACCCTAAACCCTAAACCCTCAGCCCTAAACCCTAAACCCTAAACCCTAAACCCTAAACCCTAAACCCTAAACCCTAAACCCTAAACCCTAAACCCCAAACTCAATCGTGGCCTCAATCACACAAAGCCGCCCTTCCCTCTCTGGGAGCTCTCTTGGTCCGCGGAGGTGGGCAAAACGCCCCTCCAGGATGCCCCCGGCGCATCGATCCCAGGTTGGCCCTTGGAAGCCCTCTGAAGGATGTTCCTACACTGGGTTTGGGGTTTAGGGTTTAGGGTTAGGGTTTAGGGTTTAGGGTTTAGGGTTAGGGTTTAGGGTTTAGGATGTAGGGTTGAGGGAGGGAAACCGGGCTAATTACCTGGGACATAGGTTCATGCATCACGCAAGCCATCGTGCATGGTAGCTTCAGTCCCCTGAAACGCCTCAGCGGTGCACGTCGGCGAACGAGTCGAAGATGTAGTTGACCGTGAGCTTGACGAACGCAACGCTGACGACTTGCTCCTGTTGGCGGTTCTTGGAGTCCCCCCCACCCCCCTTCCCAAAATGAGCTTGAGAACATGTAACGAATAGTCGAGGGCCAACATTAAAACGACAAAGGCAAGTATAAGCTCTCCACAGCAGTCTAGTTGCCGTGTCGGAGGCAATCACCACGTAGCTCCCTTTGCCAACGGCCTCCCGTGGCCGGCCATGTACCAAGCCTGACCGCTCGTCCAGCGTCACCCCGAGCGGAAGGCTCGGAACGACTTTGAAAACGCAACCTTGGCTGACTTCTGAACCCCTTTTTAACAGTGTGACTTTTGGGGCTCCCTCTTGTAGTTTCTTCAACAACCCAAAAGGTTAAAGTCCTTAAGAGCCAGTCAGAAGAAAGCCCAAGCAACCTTGGAGGTGAGAAACCAGCAGCGGCCACAGCTCCAGCATCTGCCCCACACAAACCACGAGGTTCCTGGGGAGGTTTCCGACATTTGGGGGACCTTATTGGCGTTCTTATTACAAGGGAATCTGAATCCTACTATTTTGGGGTCTATTTCGGGGGTCCCCATTTTCGTAAACCCCCTCCTGGGCGTGTACTCGAAGCGGTCCATGGCAATCTGGTCTGCTTGGGGAAGGTTGCCTTGAGATGGAGGCGAGGAGGCCATCGACACGTTCGACAAGCTTGAAGAACTTGAATCATGCTCCATCCGTCCTTCCGAAGTGGATGGGTTGCTCGTGTTGCTCGTCATGTTCATTGCCAGTCCGGGAGGTGGTGGGACTCGTGGCGGTAGCTGTGTGAACGGCTGCGCCTTTCCCAACGTTGGGTCCCTTTTTGGCAAGGGCTTCTCCGCTTGCATGGCAGCGGAGGCTGACTTCAATGCCTTGCGCTTCGTGCGCTGCCCCCGGCGTTGCTTCAGCGACTGGTGGAAAAGGTGGCAGTACTTACAGTCACGATCCACCCAGCAACCCCTGCGGGAGAAGCAGTAGAAGGTGCAGGGCGTGCACGCTGTCGGATGTCCGACACTACCTACGGAGTCAAGAGGTCCATCTCTCTCCAATGAGCTCCTAGAGCCATCATGCTGGTCATCCTGTGGCTCAGTTGGAGAATCACTATCCTGGCCATCATGGGGCTTGGGGGAGCTGGCATCGCCCTGCTGGGCCTGTGTTGCCTCACCTTCTGCGCACACGGAGGGCTCCGAGCCTGCTGGACCTGTGGGTGCCTCCTTCAAGAACTCACTGCTGCACGCAAGCATAGCCTTTGGGCAGAACACAGGTTCTTCAGCGGCAAGATGTTCAGTCTCGTCCCGACAGAGGCAACAAATGACAATAAACTGTTCGAAGCTGATCCTGTAAATCGCTGCGGCTTCATGCATCTGCAACTACTGTACTATCTTCTATATAAGACCCATGCTTTCCGACAACCCCAAAGGACCTGAATAGCAAAGAGGACCGCACTTCTACAAACCTGAATTCCTAAACCCTAAAGTCCTGAAACGCAAACAACCCCTTTCGCCCGGAGACCAGGCCCTAAACCCACCCTAAACCCTAGAGGCCCTAAATCCAGGAGATCATGGGCCTCTCCACACAGCCTTCTGGGCGATCGCAGGCCAAGCGGTACAGCTCCGCAGATGCGAAGGCGCTGTGAACAAACTTGTTCCTTGGCTGTGGCCTAAACCCGAAACCCTAAACCCTAAACCCCAAACCCTAAACCCCAAACCCTAAACCCTAAACCCTAAACCCTAAACCCTTGTATTCGTGCGCTCCCTGGTTCGCTATTAAGTACAATTAATATGCTCCTCTACACCTTTGCTCACTTCAGAATTCACGTGTCCTCGCGTCTTTGTAACTATCATATTACTGGAGCGCACGCGTGAACACAGTAGGCGTAATGAGATCATAATCAAGGGCAGGGAGGTGAGAACACGTAACTTTGTTCTTTCGTTCGTTCACCTATACTCACGCGCTCACCGCATTCACTATTGTAATTGTGCTCACTCATTCTCTTCGTATTGGTGTTCCTATTACCCCGCGAGTCAAAAGAACTAATTCGCGGGGCATGTGAATAATAGAAAGAAAAGCCTGTATCCGTTCACACGCACACACACAACATGTTTATTCCTGCGTGAACCTACAATAAAAATGTGCTTCACGCGTGTTCTCTTATCACACGCGGTACATACTAAGTGAAGTGAATTCACAGAGTAAATTGCAAGTTAACGCGTGATTTTTGCGAAGAGAATTTGCCCAGAACAGCACTAGACCCCCTAAACCCTAAACCCTGAACCCTAAACCCTAAACCCTAAACCCAAGACCCTAAACCCTAAACCCTAACCCCAAAACCCTACACTTGTGGAACCCTATGCCTGAAACACGATTAGGGCTCAGGGCTAAGGGTACCCCACATAAGAAACCCGAAGGGATCCTCAAGCTGAATCCTGAGCCCCCCCACGCCCCAAGACTTAAACCCTAAACCCTGAGCCCACAAACCCTAAACCCTGAACCCAAAACCCTGAACCTTAAAACCTAAGCCCTTGTTCCCTAAACCCCCTTTCCAAGCGAGCCACAGCTTGTCATAGTTGGCGTGGTCCACGGGCGGAGGGTCCCGGGAGCCCTTTTTTGCATGGAGCAGCAGGGGCTTGGGTGTGAGTGTGTGTGTGTGGGCTCAGAATTTAGGGGGTCTGAAATCCAGCTGATGCTCATGATGCTCGGAGGTTTGGGTCGGAGTTTGAGTCTAAGCCCAGCTAATACTCATGACGCTGGGGGGTTTGGAATTGAAAGCCCGGCCAGCGCCCGCTGATGCTCATGATGCTCGGGGATTTGGGTCTGAAAGCCCGGGCCAGCTCCAGCTGGCGATCATGATGCTCGGGGGTTTGTGTCTGCAAGCCTGGGCCAGCGCACACTGAAGCTCATGATGCTTGGGGTGGTGGTTCGGATCTGAAAGTTTCTGAAAGCCGGGCCAACGCCAGCTGACAGGCGTTTAACGATTTGAGGCTGAAAGCCCGGGCCAGCGCCAGCTGATGCTCATGATGCGCGGGGGTTTGGGTGTGAACGCCCGGGCCTGCAGGGCCAGCTGATGCTCATGATGCTCGGGGGGTTTGGGTCTGCAAGCCCGGGCCAGCGCCAGCTGATGCTCATGACGCTCGGAGTTTGGGTTTGTGAAAGCCCGGGCCAGCGCCAGCTGATGCTCATGATGCTTGGGGGTGCGGGTTTGAAAGCCCAGGACAGCGCCAGCTGATGCTCATGATGCTCAGGGGTTTGGGTTTGAAAGCGCGGGCCAGCGCCAGCTGATGCTCATGATGCTTGGGCGTTTGGCTTTGAAAACCCGGGCCAGCGCCAGCTGATGCTCATGATGCTCGAGGGTTTGGGTCTGAAAACCCGGGCCAGCACCAGCTGATGCTCATGATGCTTGGGCGTTTGGGTTTGCAAGCCCGGGCCAACGCCAGCTCATGCTCATGATGCTGCGGGGGGTTTGGGTCTGAAAACCCGGGCCAGCGCCAGGTGATGCTCATGATGCTCGTGATGCTCGTGTGAACGCCCGGGCCAGCGCCAGCTGATGCTCTTGATGCTCATGATGCTGCGGGGGTTTGGGTCTGAAAGTCCGGGCCAGCGTCAGCTGATGCTCATGATGCTCGGTGTTCGGGCCAGCTTCAGTGTCAGAGGTTTGCGGGGGTTCAGCGGTTTAAGGTTTGGGGTTCAGGCGCTGAGGCCTGAAACCCGCAATGTGAGAGGCTTGCATGATACCAAGGGCCTAGCAAGAACATAACTTCGACCACACACACCCTGAACCCCCCCGCTCCCTAAACCGAACGTCCAAACAGCATCGGTTCTGTCAGTTCTCATTCCTGCGGCTCTTCCTGGACTGGTTCTATGTCTAGCTTGGTGTAGGGATTGGGGTGATAAGCTTAGGAGGCTTGAGGCTTCAGGGTGTCGTTCCTCATGGTCTCGCTGGAGGTGGCAGGCTGAAAGCACTTTGTCCAGGGTTTTAGGGTCTAGAGGCTGGACACTAAACCCTAAACCCTAAACCCTAAACCCTGAACCCTAAACCACGAAACCCTAACAGTATAGGAAGGGTACCCTTTTCGGGTTGGTTACTTTAGAAGGGAGCCTTGAACCTCAAAAAAAATGGGAAAAGGGTAGCACTGGGCCATCAAGGGTTTATGAGGTTGGGGCTTGCTACTACTTGCTTTCAGCACCACCAAATTATGAAGTACAAGAATCCCTACAGGGGAAGAATATTCTTCTTTTTTTGGGGTTCTGAATCAGATAGTAGTTCATGAGGTTTAGGGTTTAGGGTTTTGGGGTTTAGGGCTTGGGGTTTAGGGTTTAGGGTTTAGGGTTTAGGGTTTAGGGTTTAGGGTTTGGGGTTTAGGGCTTGGGGTTTGGGGTTTAGGGTTTAGGGTTTGGGGTTTAGGGTTTAGGGTTTAGGGCTTGGGGTTAAGGACTTCGGCCTTGCCCAACGCGATGTGGTTCATGATGGCGTGGCGGTCACTCTCCATGCTGGCCTCAGCCTGGCAACGCAAGAGCTTGGCTGATGCAGCCCTAAACCCTAAACCCTAAACCCTAAACCCTAAACCCTAAACCCTAAACCCTAAACCCTAAACCCTAAACCCTAAACCCTAAACCCTAAACCCTAAACTCTACGAAGCCCTACGTAAACCCTGGGTAAACCTTACGTAACCCTGAACCCTAAACCCTAAACCGCTGGAGTGATTCTTTGTCAGAGCTTTCGGCAATCTAATCCCAAAGGCACAAAGTCCCAGGCCTTTGTTTACCCGACGTCAGTGTTGGAGGAGGTTCGATCTGGAGCTCGCGCCTCACCCTCAGCCTTTTCGGCTTTAGGGTTTAGGGTCCCCAAACTCCCCAAACTCCCCAAACCCTAAACCCTCAACACCCCCAAACTTGAGCCTCGCCTGGCGGACGTCCACGGTCGTCCCGACATGGACCACCTGCACGTAGCTTGTTTGTAAGGTTTCGGCCCCAAAAGACCTTCAACCCTAAACTCTAAACCCTACACCCTACACCCTAAACCCTAAACCCCAAACCCCAAGCCCTCAACCTTCAGGGCTCAGGGTTCAGGGTTGCAAGGTCTTGTTCAGGGAATCAGGGTGGCCTTGGGGCCACGGCGTCCCGTTCACAACTTGAGTCCTAACTTCAGAGTCTGAGCCTAAGGATTTAGGGTTTAGGGTTTAGGGTTTAGGGTTCGGGCTTAGACGAGGGGTCTAAGGCTTGGGGTCTCTCGGGCGTGGGGGAAGCCTGAACCCTAAACCCTAAACCCTAAACCCTAAACCCTAAACCATAGCAAAACACTGGCACTCCCCGGCGCACCCACGGTGCTGATGTGTTTCCCCTTCATCCTCAACAGAATTCTGTCGATTTCAGGGTGTCTGCGTGTAGGGTACGCCCTTGCCTCCCTAAACCGAAAACCTAAACCCTAAACCCTAGACCCTAAACCCTAGACCCTAAACCCTAAACCCTAAAAAACCCTTAAACTGCGTCCCCCCAGTCCACCAAAAACCCCCAAAAACGAAAAGGGCCGGACTGGCCACAAGGACTCGTCCTGTTTCAAGCCTTGACCTTTCGATCCTCGGGATCTGTTTTTGGCTTCAGAACTTTTTGGGGCTCAGTGTGCTGAGCCCTAAACAGTAACCCTAAACCCTAAGCCCCAAGCCCCAAACCACAAAAACACAGTCCAAAGCTCGAAAACTCCTTGCGGAACACAAGCCTACTTGGACTTGAGATGCTGGAAGCTGCAAGCCTTCGCCCCCAGCTCCCTTGGTGCTGATATAAGCAACTTGTAGCTTGTAACTTACAGCTCATAGCTTATGGCCTTTTACTAGTTACATAGAACCGATAGCTTATAGGCTTATAACTTAGAACCTGGAACCCATATCCAGCGAGCAGAGTACTGCGGATGTGCACGGCTGCAATACTGAATAAGACGGTCTCCTTTTGTGGTCACTTCCCTGAACCCTAAACCCTAAACCCTAAACCCTAAACCCTAAACCCTAAACCCTAAACCCTAAACCCTAAACCCTAACCTTAAGCAGCGCAGTTAAGAGACCACTGGGCTGAGCTAGTGGACCCCTGCCTCCAGCGGAAAGTGGGCGAGCCCATCGGAGATCTCGTTCCAGCCACTAACGCCGTCCTGCGCATAGGGTTCTAGGATTTAGGGCTTAGGGTTTTAGGGCTGCTTTTGGGTTCTAGGGTTTAGGGCGGTTTTAGGGCTGTTTTTGGGTTCTAGGGTTTAGTGCTTAGGGTTTAGGGTGTTAGGGCTGTTTCAGGGAAGTTCAAAAGATGCTACAACGAAGGAAGCCCCGCGGCTTTGCTATCCGTATCATGGTGGCTTAAAGGGAGTTCCTGAGTAGCAACTCAG